TCCACCCTCCAATTATTGCTGTTATTTAGCATTTATTATTTTTGACGTAAGTTAACGTTAACTACATTCATAGATGGGGCCACATCATTACACTAAAAAAAAAACTATAGAATTTTCTATAACACAACATACACACAGTGTGGAGGGAGGGCACACAAGTACTAGCGCAGCACACTCTATATGGAGAAATGCAATGAACAAAAATTGGCCGCCATTATTGCAACAATACATAAACGTAGCTGAAGTTTCTATTCCACCAGCTACCATAAGTCTGATATTAAGAGCCGTTTCTTGAGTTATACCGACTTCCTACTTTGACTTGTGATCTTTCAACTTCAGCCCCGTAAGACACTTCTGCGACCAATGATCGTCAACTAATTAATCACGTGAAACACTGTGGAAAGTCATTAAAAGCTGAGTGTTTAAAGCGGGTAATAGAAAGCACCCCTACCGCCACTACTTTTTCGCTACCTCTTCCTACAAAATCACTCTGATCATCGCACAGTGTATACCATGTTTTAAGTATATACACATTGAGTTCTTAAAGCTTATACAAAATCTTTGGTGAGGTAATAATGAATACTGTAATAATATGTTATGTTATAAATAAATTGTTTGAAAAGTAGGATTTTTGTGTTATCATAGCTTCCAACACCACATATTTTAAAGTTCGTAACCCTGACAAAGGACAGGTACCTCAGCTTGTTGTACATGTTAGTGTTAGTGTTACAGCTCCAGACCTCTATAGTTACTCGCGTATGTCCAGATCTTTATTATTGTTTTACGTTACTAAAGTGTCTGCTAATTTTCAGCTATCTGTTGCTTTATCATTGTTTCTTTTTTTTTCAGGTGTGTATCGATGTTTGTCGTGCTGTTTGAAATAGTGTTTTCAGCAATATTCATATCGCTTGTTTTGATTTGCTTTTTTCTGTGGTCACAAATTTTAAATTTTGTTTCTTCTTCTTATATTTCAGCAGCAAGTTGTGTCTGTCAAGTGTGGGACCAAGTTGGCTGTCGACGAGGAAGACCCCCAAAGATTGGCGAGATACCGAGGTACACTATAGCTGATGCTGATTGGGTGGTCAAATACAGAACAGTATAAGTGTCTGTACGATATTTGTAAAGGGTTTTTCTTTTTATAAAGAAATGTCATAGCCACGCCTTTTAATTTACTTAAGAATGTAAAACACATAAAATGCAAATTTTGTTTTAATCAACACGGGAGATTTTTTCTGTTTCTACCCTTGGGTCTAATGAATGTTTTTACATATTTCCTGCTATTTATTATCCTCGATATGACAAATGTGTAGTAAAGCTGTTTTTATTTGTGTTCCTCGATACGACGAATGTGTGGTACAGCTCTTGTATGTATTCCTGGATATGACGAATGTGGTGCAGTTCTTGTTGCTTATGACGAATGTGTGGTACAGTTCTTATATGTATTCCTCGATATGACGAATGTGTGGTACAGTTCTTATATGTATTCCTCCATATGACGAATGTGTGGTACAGCTTTTGTATGTATTCCTCGATATGATGAATGTATGGTACAGTTCTTGATGTTTGTGTTTCTGTATATGACGAATGTATGTTACTGTTCTTGTTGTTTTTGTTCCTCGATATGACGAATGTATGGTACTGTTCTTGTTGTTTTTGTTCTTCGATGTAACGAATGTGTGATACAGTTTTGATTGTGTTTCTAGATAAGACCAATGTGTGGTACAGTTTTTGTTGGTTGTGTTTCTGGGTGTGACGAATGTGTGGTACAGTTCGTGTTGTTTGTGCTCTGGATGTGACGAATGTGTGGTACATTTCGTGTTGTTTGTGTTTCTGGATGTGACGAATGTGTGGTACAGTTTTTGTTGGTTGTGTTCCTTGATGTGACGAATGTGTGGTACATTTCGTGTTGTTTGTGTTTCTGGATGTGACGAATGTGTGATACAGTTTTTGTTGGTTGTGTTCCTTGATGTGACGAATGTGTGGTACAGTTTTTGTTCGTTGTGTTTCTGTATAAGACGAATGTGTGTTGTACAGTTTTTGTTGGTTGTATTTCTGGATAAGACGAGTGTGTGGTACAAGTCTCGTTTTTTGTTGGTTGTGTTTCTGGATAAGACGAGTGTGTGGTACAAGTCTCGTTTTTTGTTGGTTGTGTTTCTGGATAAGACGAGTGTGTGGTACAAGCCTCGTTTTTTGTAAGTTTTACTTCCTGTTTCGCTCTGTGTGAACTTTCTGATAAGATCGAGTCTGGAAATGCTAATTTTTAGTCTTTTTATTTTTGCTATTTAAAATTGTAGATAAAACCCACGAAACAAAACTAAAAGGTGATTTTGATTATATGATCAAATTTCTTAGACAGAAGAACTAACTAGTTCGAATTGTTTCGACGTTACGACAGATCTGTTCAGTGAGGTTGTAAAACTTATAACAGTATTACTGCTTCTGTATACACGTCAAAGCAGGTGTTTCGAATAATCACAAGGGATTTTTACCCACGGGCTTGAAAGCTTCTTGTCTCGAGATGCTGGTATTGGCATTCGATCGATCTACTCTGTATTACTTCTATAGTGTCTACTTGAAGAATAAAGTGTACTTCTCATTAAGGCTATTTAGAAGTTTTGTCAATAGAAGTATTTTTACCCGATAACTTGGATTGACAAGTTCCACGAGAACGCGATCAAGTGTGAGCGAGTTTAATTTAGCACCATAAAAAAACAACAACCTTATTTCCAGATGTATGTATTATTGTTTCCTTTATGCTGGCATTAATTCTTTTGATTTTTGATTTTTCTTTGAACAGAATTTTCGACCAAACCTGCTTAAGCCAATACCCCTTTTTTTTTTTGTATGGAGTAAAAAATAGTTTATTTGGCAAAGTTTAACATCTTTCTGCAGAATTATCGAATTGTGTTTTCTAGTATAAAATCTAAACATTCTGCTCTTCCTAAATTTAGGATTTGGTTAAATAGTCGTTCCTTTTCTATCAATGGATTAATTGCTATTCCTCAACTGTGTTTTTTGTCATTTCAAGTGACTGAATGGGAGAAATAAAAGCATTCGTTACTAAAGAAAAGCTGTTTCGCAGAATGAATTGAAAAACGCCGTTTTGCTTTTATTTATAAAAGTTCTTTTTTGGATAAATCTCTAGGATTGCACTTTAAATGGGCTCATACAAACCGCCTTAATTTATACCAGTTCGTTGTTAGATACATCTTTAGGATTGCACTTTAAATGGTCCCAAACTAACTACCTTCATTTATACAAGTTCTTCGTTAGATAAATCTCTAGGATTGTAGTTTAAATGGGCTCATCCAAATTGACTTTATACCATTTCGTTGTTAGATAAAGCTTTAGGATTGCATTTCAAATGGGCTCAACCAAACTGCCTTTATGTATACCAGTTCGTTGTTAGATACAGCTTTAGGATTGCACTTTAAATGGCCCCAAACTAACTGCCTTAATTTATACAAGTTCTTCGTTAGATAAATCTCTAAGATTGTAGTTTAAATGGGCTCATCCAAACTGCCTTTATGTATACAAGTTATTTGTTGAATATACTTTAAGATTGTGTACTTGAATTACCGTATCTCCTACAGATATGTACCAGTATGTGGCTTAAATGAGCTGAACCAGTTTAATCACATATACAAAAGTGTTCTCTGAAATTCTCATCCTAGATATGAACTTCAAACATGCCACATAACAGCGTGCATACTGATAGCTTTTCATGTTTTAATGCTCCTCTGAAAGTACAAGAGGAAATATTTCACTATTTTCATGAAGCTACTGAAATACTGAAGGAAGTGTTACCTGTTTTCATGTCTTCTGAAATAATGTATTTCGGTTGTCTTCATTAACCTTTTGAGTTCCTGAAGTCTCTATTTCAATTATTTTCATGAACCTCTTGAGATAAGGAAAGAAAGTATTACTTGTTTTCATAAGTCTCTTCAGATACTGATGATTGTATTCAGCTCTTTTCATAAGCTTTCCGAGCTACTGGTATCTGTATTTCAGTTCTTTTCGTCTTCCTGAGATACTGGTAGCTGTATTTCAGTTCTTTTCGTCCTCCTGAGATACTGGTAGCTGCTATTTCAGTTCTTTTCGTTCTCCTGAGATACTGGTAGCTTCATTTCAGTTCTTTTCGTCCTCCTGAGATACTGGTAGCTGTATTTCAGTTCTTTTCGTCCTCCTGAGATACTGGTAGCTGTATTTCAGTTCTTTTCGTCCTCCTGAGATACTGGTAGCTGCATTTCAGTTCTTTTTGTCCTTCTGAGATAC